CTATAGAACGATAATGTAATGGATGGTAGATAGGTAGAATCATTCCTGAGGAAACTTGTCATAATATATTGCAAGCATTTCAAATAAGAGTAAGAATACTTATTACATGAGTTCTAATAATTTAATCAGTGATTAAATGAGTCAATACATAGTATTCAAATAGATAATCTATGGATAAGAAAGGATTTCATCAGAATATGTACCCAGGAAATAAGAAACTTCAAGTAATTCTGTTGAGTTTTATTTGTTACTAATTGGTTCCTCCTTTGGCGAGCCTCCTGAGAAACGAAGAATATTAATAAATAAATAACGTAGAGTACAAATTATAAAATAGGAATCAAGATCACATACCTGACTCATCCAACAAATTGGAAATATCAAAAAATTGGTAATGTTCTCTTGTATGTTTACTAAGCTTTGGTGCACTTGGTGGCCTTGGACTCAATTTTTTCATCTCAGGGCACTGTTCAATGGTCAAGTCCTCTAATGAAGGGAACACAAGTTCATAGTTCTGAGAGCAAAACATTTGAATACTTGAAAGATCCTCGAGTTGTAGACGTCTCATATTAGGGAACACAATTATTGTTTTCATTCCTTCAACTATTTTAATCTCTGAAGTGCCTTCTTCTTCTTTTCCAATAATCTCTTCAATTGATTCACAATTTGAAACCTTTAGAAAGTCTAGAGCCACAAGAGAATTGGCCATTGAAGATGAAAATAAGTATCTTAAGTTCTCACAAGCACAAACATCGAGATTTTTCAAATTTTGGAAGACACGAATTTTTTTTGGAACCATCCTCGTAATGTGCACCAATTTTGGTAGTGAGCGCAGCCACAATGATGTTAATCGACCAAGCATATTAATTTCTGCATCATCATTAGTGATATTTATACCCTCAAAGTCAAACAATACTTCAAGTGCATTACATCCACGCACACGAAGTCTTTCAAGATTTTGCAGTAACTGAATTGAATCAGATTCTGCAATGGTAAGCAATTTAGAACAATCAAGCACCCGCATGCCTGTTAGTTTATGCAGAGATGTTATTGGCATTTCCTTGCCCAGTAGCTTTACTATACAATCGAACCCATCAACACGCAACAAATCCATGTTAGGAAAGTTGACCTGCGAATTTCAATTAGTTGTAGTCAGCCAAAATTTATCCATTATGCTATGATTGCTATCTATATAAATGAATTGCGGAAAGCTATGTCATTCTATACAAACTGTATCTATCTATTCAATTTTAGGACATTTTATTTCATTGTGCTGTTGATTAAACAGAAATAAATCCGAATTTCTCCTTTCTTTATTACCCAATTTAATCTCGAAATTTTAGCTCCAAAATTTACGCGCATCTTTTTATTTCTAAGTTTATATGGTTTAAGATTGGAAAATCAAAGAGATTTCCTATTCTCTCAATTCTTAGTTAAGACCACGGTTCTAAAAAACGTTTTTGGAATTTGTATGTAGTTGATAGGAATCATGAAAAAGCTGTAATTGTTAACTTAAAATAACATGAGGCGCTACAACGGTACTGTTTCTTCTAAATTTTGCCCGTGTTTGGTTCAACTAAAAAAGTAAATTAAAATTGAAGTCAAATTCAGTAATTAATTTTAATCACATATCTACAACTTATCAATTACACATTTCATTAAATTTTATTGATTTGTACTAAATGACCATTCTAATATTTTTGCTCCACTGTTTATGATTTGTTCATTTGGAACACATTTTCGAGTATATCTCATTTTCAAAATTTGTCTTATTCTTCAGATTTGATACAGACGAACTAAACACTCTTTATAACAAATAAGGACCCTTGGATGCACAGAAAAGGAAAGTGGAATACCATACCTGATTGAACAATGTTTGATGAACAACACCGCTATTTGATTGAGATGTGAAGCTCTTAAATCTGCTCAAATTCACCAGCCTGACTTTTTCCAGTTTTGGAAACTCGAGCTTTTTGCAAGTTTTGGTAACTTCATTTTCTCGTGCGTCCGTTGAAACAACTTCCTCTAACATCACACATTTCAATATGAATAGACTTTGGAGATTTACCAATCTGTTTGCAACTGACTCTGGAAATAAGCTTTTAATTGCATTACAGGAAGACATCTTAACTGTCATAAGGTTACAGAACAATTTAGGTTTGATGACACCCCTCAGAAGATTTCCATTGCATATCTCTATTAACTTGGGTAATTTTTCCAATTTGAGAGACTCCAATTTGCCGAAGGTGCCATTTGGAATAGAGTTGGT